GACAGATTCCTGGGAGTATTCCCAGTGCCAATCAGAAACAACTGGATGGTTTGCCAGGTCCCAGCCACTTCCCGGGTACTGTAAAGGATCTGAAGCAGGAGCCCGGGCGGGGCCATGGAACCATGACACCGACCACCGTGGCACCTGTCTTGAGTTTTAGGTGCCTTCAGTTTGGGAGTTCTCCAGCGCTAAAACATGACAGTCTTCACTGACCATGTTTGATGACCATCATGTGGATCCAACGTGGTTTTCCAACGTGGTCTTCTCCGTTCCACGTCACCAGGTCGAGCCAACTTCCCACTGCAGTCACTCGTTTCCGGGGACGGCAACGGGAGGTGAAATCGGGCGAGTCCGGTGACGATGGTTTTCGGCGAGTCCGGCGTCTGTGTGAGAAAGGTGCTTTGTGGTGGAAAACGGAAACGGTTTTGGCATGTTTTGGCTGGTTCTGAAATCCCAGGTCCGCCGAGCCATTCTAGTAAATCATGTCCATAATTCGTGACATCGAGTGCTTTCCAACCATCTGCCGGCCAATGCCAAGATGTATCGGATCTTCCTGTGCAGATCAGATATTGTTCGTATTGGAGAAACAGATCGGAGGGATCTTAACTGTACCTGTGCATCTCGGCTGTTCCTGACTTGTTCATCTTGGCCTGTTCGTTCCCGACCGGATCTGCCCGCTCGGAGGTAGCGCGGGCCGCTCGGTTCGTGCACCCGAAGCGCCGCACGCGGTTTCCCCGGCTGCGCCTTCGACGGTCTTAGGGTTTTGAGCACCAAGCGGTCCCAGAACTTCCTCTCCCAGAACGGCTGAAGTGTTTGAAATGCTGCACCAGGCAGCTGAGATGGAGTGGTTCATGTACCAACTGCAGATGTTTCTTCGAAAACAGCACCCCCACCGATGGTCTGAGGTCTTGGCACACCGTGTCGAAATCATCCCCAACTCGGCACACCGTTTGCCCGAGGTGTTGTGAGCTGCCATTGTTGGGAAAGTTCTGCTGCGACTCGGCCCGGGGGTTTTCGGGTGTTCTGATCTCCAGTCTGGGAAGGTGCAAGCCAGTGGTCCAAAGGGGGAAACTCTACAAACCACCTGAGAGACGATCCTGAAGGTGCTGAAGGCGTTGTCTTATGCATGACCATATTTTTACCTGCTAGCGATGGCCTCCAACCTAGTAGCGATGGTCTCCAACCTATCAGTAGCGATGGCCTCCAACCATAATCCTGTGACAGCCCCAAATGTTTGGAGACATGAAACTGCAGAAGACATGTGTGGGGTTTCATTACTGAGTTTCATTAATGATGTTTGGCGCACGAAATGCACGCACCTTTAATCAGCCATACTGGGACTGGGAGGAGGCAACATAAAGAATCACCCACTTTCTCAAATGCTCTTATATATATGATGCATGTACATTTATTGTAGTTGCAACCAATTTATTATACTATTTTTGTATATGCTCTTACAACGGGTTTTTGACATGTGCATGATGTATCGTCGGGATGTGCAGGATGTATCATCGGGGAGTTTCTGGGCCATCGCCCAGATTGTCACAAAATAGCAACTCACATGTCGCCCTCCGCTGCGTCCCATCACGTCCAATGTCTTCATGCTCGGTGTCCAGCGTGTTCACCCAGTACTGGATTTTTGACGACTGAGGCAAGCCACCAGATGGTGATCCCTCACCAGATGCCAAAGATCCAGCTTGGCTTCCGTTGCCGGTGCCCAGCAACGACCGCTAGTAACGCGGTCGCGCATGTGATGGGCATGCTTCGGCTGACCGCAGTGAACAATTCACCGCGATTTGACGATTAGCGCGATTCGCGCTTTTGGCCACCTCAAAGGGAGCAGACAGAGCCAAGGGAACACACTGTGGTGGGTGTGTGTGTGTGTGTGTGTGTGTGTGTGGGGGTGCAGGCAGTGGAAACTGGAAACTTGGAAGCTTCCTTTGGGTTGGTCGATCTACATAGAAGCGGAGGAGGAAAACCAACAGGAAGTGAGTGACCCTGGCTTTATCGGGAAACCATAAGATCCTTTCTTTCGTTGGGATGAAAAGGACTGAATAGGCCGCGGCCTGAGCAAAGCAGCTGTTCAGCTGACATCAAGTTCATTCAACATGGAATCCCTTTGAAGCATGAATGTAATGGACATTGGATCATTGTTTGTATCTACTTTGGGACAACCTGTTCCTTTTCTGCTTTGAAAGACAATGCCTCTTTGCTCACCCTGTTGATATCTTCCCGAATTCCTCCAGCCTCCGTGCGCATGGCCAAGTATGCCACTACTCTGTGCGAGTAGGGAGGTGCTGCTTGCAATGCGCACCCCAAGTTTTTCAACTGGGGTAATGATATTAACTGGAGGAGGTATTTGTTCTTTGTATTCAGCTGTTATTAACCTTCTGATCCCAGCCTTTGCCATCGCTGACCCCGTTCCGAGCCTTTTCGTTTGGAGTTCCAATGCAGTGAAATCTGTGGACATGGAGCGTTCGAGCCCAACGTGTACAGTGTCGTTCCTTCCAGATTCACAGCTGCGCCGTGTCAAACGGCACAGACAATACGCAGGATGAGAGCGACCGATGGATCGGGGACGTGCAATTCGAACGATTTCATTTTCTTTGATGAATGATGAATCACTGGTTTGGGTCACACTGCAAGCTTTGCTCACCCTAATCGGGCCATAGGAGAGAAACATAGGCCATTGTTTTGTTTGCATGTAGAAGCTTCCGTGGGAAGAAGGTGACCTGTGAGCATCTAGAGTGTGTCTTGAAGCTACTTGAACACGCCAACCACTTGCAGTTGCATCAATACACTGCTGTCTCACCATCAGCAAGAGCAGCCACTAGTTAGCGTGTCAGAATCTGTCCATCATGATTCCATCCATGTAGTGTTCTCTTTTGCTTCCTCATTGCACTCCCGGACATCCAAGCGTGTGTGATGCTTGGGTGTTTTCAGAGGAGCCGCTCATATGCTTCGGCGCATACATGTGGGAGTCAAGTAGTCACACCAGAGCATACGATATTCTGGTTACTCTACAAGACTGTGTCTTGGTCCCTTGAGTATAAATATACACAGCAGGATTGTTTGCCGAATCCTGACGTCCGGATGCTTAGTATCGAGTATTGATCAACTATGATACAACCGTATCACAAGCAGGTCAGTCTCAGTTACCTTTGAGTTTGGAGCTTATTGTAGACATATGCCATATGCAATCGCAATAATCTTCCTGCACTTCCCTAGTGGCACTTGCTGTGATGAGAGTCACAAGAAACGGGAGGGTCCAATCCTGCATGCTGATTGGTTGAGCGTCCAAATCACCCCTCCGCCTTGGAACAGCCCCCCCGACCGGAACCTGAAAACTACACTGGGTTGTATTCGGAAACTATACATAGTCTTCCAAAGGTCAAGTTTCAGGTTCCATGTCCATGTTTCCCATGTTAACGTTGTGCAATATTGCTTCCTCACGATTCTGTGTCAAGCTGATTCCGCCTGTCTGGCCCCTCAAGCACATCCGGGCCCTCAAGCACATGGGGTTTTGAGGGTCCGACCCTGTCATGGAGGGCCGAGGCGGTTCTACATTACGGATGAGTAGGGTAGGTTAAGAATTCTATAGTTTTTGAAGGTATCTATCCTTGAATCGAAGATGCCCCCCTTCCGAAGGTTGCAAGATTTGCAAGGAATTTTGCCACGCTAGGTCGTGTAATTACTTATTATGAATATAGAGTATATATGTACACAACACAATGACTCCCCATTTTTTGCGCATGTGTGCAAAATCACAAGCACACAAACTCGGCGCGTGATCTTCAGGTGTTTAAGCCGTTCCGCGCGTGATCTTCTGGTTTCAGCGAAGGAGTCCGTGCGGCAGAAGAAGTCGGGCGGCTCCTAGAATGGCTTCAAGTTGAGATTCAAATTTGATGGACCTTTGCTTCAACAGATTCAGGTTTACCTGTGAGGTACTCTCCAAGCAACCCAATCACAGCTTAGGTTATCTCACCAGCCACAAATCTCCACTAAATGACGGAAAAGAGTTCATGGGGATTCCTTGTTGACCTTCACTACTAGCTGTCACTGGGTGGTGGGCAACCCAAATCCTACCCAGGAACTCAGGCACCTTTGGGGCCTTGAGGGTTACTTACCTCCCATTCACTTCATTGACGCCATTGACATCGACACGCTGATGGCAAGAGACTTCGTCTGATGGCAAGCTGTGAATGTCCACAGGGGTCACCGAATCGAATCCCTTTGTGGAACAATTCGCCAGCTGAACAACGCAGGTTTGCAAAAGGGTGCCGCGCCTTCTAAGGGCAGGGGAACAGCATGGTTGATTAGGGAATGCATGGTAATTCGGATTGAACTGTGGAGATATTGGGGTGTATGTTGCCCAGCATTTGCAAAGATGCCATTCAGTCCGAACTGCAATACATCGTTCTTTTGCTGTAGGGAGTAGAGGTGTTGTTTACAAGGCTCACGTTCTCATCCTTCTTGGATCGGTATTCCGAAACCATGTTCTTGCATGTTTCAGTGGCTGCATGAGCCGAATTTTTCATGTCTTTCTTCGACCAAACATAGAACACAATAGAACACTAATGACATGAAAGGGTCTTCGGATCGGAAGATCGCATCTGAAATATGAAGTGAGACACCCTTTGATGTGCCATCCCCTGGTGATTGAAGGCACACGTTTTTGGGTTTGCGGCTTCACCTCCCTCCAATCATGGAAGTGGAAAACAGCCCTGTGGATTGCACAGCCTTTCGTAGGGACCATGGTTCCGATTCCATGGATGCGGCCGATGGAGGGTACAGATTCCCATTGTTTGGAACATCTCCGAAGCACCTTCTTACACTAACACGGTTTGGATGTGGCTATTGCTAGAGGAGGATCTGTAGGTCTTATTCCAAGACGATAAAAAGATTCTTTTTATTATATATATGAGGCTTTTGTAGCTGATTTCAACCACTCACTGCTGGTCTCATCGCACATATGGGCGGGGCCTCCACGTTTGACCCAGGTCAAGAGTGTGCAAGCTGCATTGATTCCTGCTATCAATGGGATGAATGTGGTCGGCCTGGTGTCCATCCCCGGAATGATGCCGCTCAGAGTGAGAAAGAGATGAGTCGTAGCAGGCAGTAGCGCAGCATTGGCGCCGGCTGCCAGTGTTTGAGACGCTTTTTTTTTGCCTTTTCCATCCCTGGCACCTGGCCTTATTTATGACCTCAGCCGCACTCCACTTCTGCATCGAGTAGGAATGACATCCTTGGAGGGAACAACCAATCACTATCAGGTAGCCGATCACCTGGTACAACTCTACCTTTCGTGTTTCCCTTTCTCAAGTCATGGTAAGAATTGCCCTAGAAAACTTGGTCTTCGTCCCTCTCTGCTTGTCGACCAGTCGACTGAGGACAGGGCAGATTCTCGGGGGCGCACCCCCCCATGAAAGCTGCCCGCTATCAGATTGTCCGAAAGCTCAGGAGTCGGTGGAGCCCGATCGTTGGAAGCGGGACCGTCGCGGCTGGGGTCTCCATCGGTCTAAGAGGTAGCGGGGGGGTCGCCGTAACTGCTCGAGCGACGTACCCGGATGTTCCCCAACCCCGACAGCTAGCCTAGGACAGCCCAGGAGACACACGAGAAAGATGAGCCTTGAACGGTCTTTCACTGTTCAGATTGCAATTAATTATATGTTTTTGCGAGGCACTGCACAGCGTCTGCTGAAGTTGACATGCTTTCTTGGACATTCTTGGACAACGGAGGACGGGTGCAGATCGATATTGCGACTGGTGTGGTGGAATGGTCATGAAGACGATTTCAGATGGGAGAGGCGACTTGGTAATTAAGCTTTTTCAACTGCAAAGATCGTCCGGACTGCCATCAAAGCATCTTTGGGGTTTACATCAGCGGGGCATAGACCGTCGACCCCTTTGCAACAATGAGTTATCTCAAGCCAGCTATTGTTGTCTTGTCGTGATCGGCTCATTTCGCTCGGTTCACCGAATCCAAATCGAGCAACAAACACCCCCCCGCCCTCGCCCCGGCCCTCGTTGGGTAGACTGGTCGCCTCAACTGCAACCCGGCACCAAACGTTGACTGGGAGGTCTTCCCTAAGACCAAGTCTTCAACGGCTTTGCTTTAGGTCATTACCTTCCTCATTTCCGGCTGCTCCTTCGCTGCCTTGTGCCTCATCTGTGCCCGGGCGCCCGGACCGCTCCGTCGAGCCACCGGACCTTCGCGTCGCGCCGTGCGACGCGCGTAGCCGGCGGCGGAAGGGGTTGCAGCGGTTCAGCGTTCTGTCGACCGTCTTAGACCGTTCCATGCCATGTCTCTGGTTCTTGTCCTCAGTCTTGTGGAAAGCGTGTGGGTGCGGGTTCCGCAGTGGTTCTGAAAGTCAACAGATGTGAAATCCAGTGGAAAAGACAAACCACAAAGCTCAAGTTAGAATATCGTTGGCTTTCAGCTGTGAGTGTTGTGGAATGCGAAGATGATTTGATTAGATTTGACAATTGCTTGGTTCGAACATTCCACCCACTTGCGTACTCAGGCATTCACCATCCAAGCATTTTTTGATGAGCGAGGTCGGCATGATGATAGCGAGGTGCTTGGCCCAGTAGTCAGACAGAGTTGTGGATATGCAGGAAACTATCTAGCATTTAGATCAAGTTGGTTAAAAAGAGGCACTTCAAGATGGATCTTGTTGTACGTTTTTTTTTCTTTTAATGGACGCAACATGTACGATTGCATGAGTATGTCATTGTTTCATACACTTTTCAACACATATAACTGTTGAAACAAAAACACAGCACATCGGTTTGAAATCATAAAAAAAACGACCATATCACTTTCATAGTGTTTATTATCTAAATAGATGTTCATTAATACTTCATAATTTTCATGAAAACTGTTTGAAACACATATGAACATGTTCTGAACGATTTATCGAAATGATGTGGATATTTAATCATGGTTCTTGTCCAGAGGTCATTTTTTTAAATGCTCTTTGATTTTTTTTTTGCCGATTGTATAAAACGATTTTATGTAAAAACATAGTGAACTCATACAAACACTATGATATATAATTAATGAATTTGGCCTTTGGCTTTTACCCAACTTGTCAGATCTCAATTGTAACAAGATATTAAAAACAAGGATCACAAAGATGGGTGTTCAAGTCAGACAAATAGACAAAGAAGGCTTGCACGATCTTGCATGTGTGCACGGATACTTGATGCAAATCACCGCACGCATTGAGCTTTGTTCCCGCCCTGAACCTACATATCGACCTGGGCTTCTCATGTTTTCATTGTTTGTGTGGGCACTAAACCAGCAGCTCTTTGGGCGAAATCCCATTCACTCAGTACCTCATCGATGCTCCCTTCCTACACCTGGTCGCGACGTGGTGGTCATCGAGTCGCGTGGTCGGTGGTGAAGTCGAGTCGCGGAGTCGTCGTCGTCATTCGAGGTGAAGCCGCAGTCAAGGCTCAACATCTCCAAGTTGCCCGGACACTGAGAGATGGATCAGCGCAGCAAACAGACCAGATGGATCTGAGCGAAACAGACCCAGAATGGCACACGATCGATTCAGCTTCGATCCTTTTTTGAGGTGACCTTTTTGGGTGAAAACAGCGAGACAGTGTTTTTGGCTTTTGTTGCTTAATGATTAAGGATTGATAGACTCCCTGAACAGAGGAGTCGGGATTGTCAGAAATCTTCTTGTGTAGCCTAGACACTCAATGTGTGGAAGAAATAGATTGACCCCTTTTCAACCACCCCAATGTATATAGGCAGTCCTATGCCAGTCCCAGACAGGTCGATTCGTCGTGGTTGGGTTGTGCAGAATCGAATTCACGAGCCAATCATTGGATCACCCGAGTTCGATCCGGAAAAACCTATCCATCACTGCCACACACATTGATGGATCAGAACTGAGCCGAGTCTGATCCTTTCACTGTGGGGAAGACCATGCAGTACATCTGGCCGCCTTTAGTTCGAGCATTGAAAGAATGGGAATGACCTGGTTTTGTGGTCTAAAATCCTTAGTAAAACATCCGTTCAAACTCCAAACCATGGAAATCTTTGGTCAAGACTCAAGACCCACTAAAACAATGGTGGGCCAGGCTTTCAAGGGTATCCAAGGAGTGTTTGTGTAGGGAACCAACACATCCTGCTTGAAAAAGCGTCCAATGCCGGACGATGAAGACTCGTTGGGAGACCGGTCTCCACCCCCCCCTTTTCTGAGCACCCCATCTCAGAGCGCCAGCCAAAAAGCAGGAACATCAGCCAGTCTGACATGACCATTTCAGCAGAAATGACGAAGGATACCCTGGAATAGATTCTATGATTCTCCATGATTCTCCTATAATATGTTTCATGATGTGATTACTGTGTTGCAGGCCCCATGGAAGGCCTGGGACATTGAATCTATGAAGAAAAAAAACCAACAACAGATGAGATGCCATAAGTTCGAGCGATTCTAACTCATCTCAAATAGAACACCACCTGGTGTTTTTTACCGCACCATCTGTGCGGTCCAAACGGTGGAGGCTGGACTTCAGCAAGTGGCCGAGTCGGAAGACCCAGGCCGGCCGACCCCTCGTTTCCGTGGTTTTGGACTGGGAAATCAGATGAAAGCAGAACGCACCCAGGAAACGGACCGGTTTTTCTTTTTGGCATTTTGGTGATGTTCTGAATCATGACGATCATGCCTAGCGGCAATGGTTCTCGCAGAGATACTGTTCTATCATTATCTATTCTGTTTTAGACAGCGCTGAGTCCCACAACGATGTCACCAGAGAGTTTGGACTGCAAAACTGAGTGAAGCAGTTTTCACCTCCTATACCTTTGCAGGCCAAGTGCTTGAGGGTAGTTTGAGGCCAAGTGCTGAACGGCCATATGCAGGCCGTGCCAGCGACCTCCACGCCTTTGTTGGCTGAGTCGCTCGCGACCTGAAGGGACCGGACGAGTTGGTGTATGTTGTGTCTATGTAATCTCCGTGTATTTTTGCCTGATTCTCAATTACACATTGGCAAATGGATAGACATCAAATTTAAAAGACAATCAGAACTTATTAATAGAAGAGAAGTCCCAAGAAAGCATCATTACTCCTTACCGGTGGGGTCTTTCAGGGAGCTCATCTGTCCGGGGCTCATCCCGCAGCGGGATGAGAACCCCGTCTCCCACACCGGATCGCTCTCCGATCGACCGGCTGCGGCTCTTTCTCACGCTCCCCGACCTGGTGGTCGCTTTTCGCGGGACCGACGTCCATCGCCACATCAAGACGTAGCCAAGGTATCCCGTTCATGTCGGTAGGTTCAACCAAGGTCTCCTGGTTTTGACTCGCCATTTTCTTCCACTTATGAGTCAACTAAGCGCTTATGATGTTGAAGGGGCGTCCTGTCTGCAGACCTATGCAAGGTAGTCTAGGGTTGTCCATTGGTGACCCCGATGGGAAGCAGGAATAGAGTACAAGTTTCATCAACGTGACCAGACATGACCAGACCCGCATGGTTCTTTGGTGCTCCGAAGTTCACAGCCCACCCCCTCTGGCTATGCAACTCGCCACCCACGTTGGGGTTTGCAACGGGACCAACCTGTCTGTGGCGCTGAGCTCGGCTTCTCCTTTGGCCTTGCAGAAGACCTGGGACAAATCGAAGGATGGAGGCAGAGCGCACGGAGGAAAGCGCGCGGTGTTTGGGAGGATGTTGAGAACTTCTCGGCCGCGGTTCGTTGAACTACAACGATCGGTGAATTCCGATGGGTAAAGGATGGCTAATCCATGCAAAGCCGGTGCGATTGGGACTAGCCTCCTTTGGTGTTTTTATGCCCCAAGGATCCCCAACCACCGGGACCTCAAAACCTACACCAATTCCCCCTCCATCGGTTCGGCCGACCAATCGCCAGACGCTGTCGAGCTCACAAACCGCATGTCTTGGGATGGTTCGGGTTGGTCCTCTCCGAATAAATGCGTCGGATCCATCGTAAAGGTCTGGGCTGGGCCTTAGGGTGTGAAGACCGAAGCTGCTCGTTGGGTACCACAGCTTTAGGGATCCAGTCGCACCGAAGCTAGGAAGGAGTCGACTGGACCCTCCAAAGTTACATAACAGTGTCTCCCATCACCTTCTGACAAGGTACTTGGATCCCTAGGGGTGGTATGCAGCTGGATGAAAAGCAGCTGGGATCTGAGAGCCGGACATGTGTTCTGTCTCACCTACCGGGGCAGATCCTCCGCGAGGCGGTCTCATCCTGGATTTGCCACTGGAGGGCTTGGTGGGGAAGCAGCGCCCGCTCAAGGCCAGGATCAGGTTTTGGAGGGTGCTGCTGACCGGCATTGTCGAAGGTTCCCGGTAGATCCCAGTAGAAGTTCTGGAAGAACGCCTACTACTGGTTTGGAATCTCTGTTGAGACGCACGCACCATGTGTGCAAAACTCGTTCAGATTGGTCGTATGTCCTTGGTCCTAGTGACCTAGTGACCCAAAGTGCCTGCATGAAACTCTTGCCTCCGGGATGCGCTTGGTTCTGCTTTGTGTTTTGTTATACACATGCGATGTTGCTGTGTTTTGAACAGCAGTGAAGCCTGCTGTCATGCCGTATCTTGGGATGAGTCAATCTGCTGTGGCTTTTTTTTTTCAGAACAGGAGACCCCTTTGGACCTAGGAAGAATCAAGAAGGGAAGGTGAAGCCAAAGCGAGTGCAGGGAGGTTGAAGGAGATCACTCATTCTTTGAGGTGATTGGGTTGATGAGATGCCTTGAGTCCATCATATGTAATTACCCCAAAACCGATGATTTCCTTTTCGTCCCAGCCACTAGCGGGACTGTCCAAAAGGCAGAGAAAGCTGCCGTGCTTCGCTGGGTCACCCTGATGGCCTCGAACAGACTTATGTAGCAAGGTCCTAGTAGTGCAGCAAACGAGAGGAACAACTGGGAATTTCAACACACATATATATATATGATTATATATGATGATATAATATATATATAATACTATATCACACAATACAACTATACACATATCTGTATATATATATATATGATATATATGCGGTATATATATATGCTGTAACCCAACGAACGTCTTGGGATCTCTCATCTCAGCTGCACACCATAATAGACAGACGGCCGCATGCCGCAGCTTCCACCATCGCCAGGTGCATTTCAAGGTCCACGATGGGGAGGTTGGGAGCTTGGTGACGGCTGATGACGTTTTGAGACCTTTGGGACTTGGCTTCCTCGCAAGGCTACACTCTGGTGACTCTAGTGTTAGAACATCATTGCTACGAGCTCATGTGGCCATCCCACTGGAGTTGTGGAGGAACATGACGATCTTGAAGTTGAAGAGAGGGAGAGCGAGAGTGAGAGGGAGGGCGCTGCGAGCCGAACAACGCCCGGTGGTGCAGGTCCTTTGCATGATGGGGCCCAGCGGTGCGGGCAAATCAACGATCTTGCTTCTCGGCAAGCACTGAATTTCCTCTCCGCAGCTGAAACAACTTGAAACTTGATTTTTTCAAAAAGGCTTGAATCCTGATTTACAGTGGTTTCAGAGTAGATGGCACAATTCCCAAAAAGGTTGTTACTATGGACCGCTATACAAGAGACATCCAAAGACATCTTTGGGTTTGTGCCATCCTGCGAAACTGAACTATCTTTGGTTGAACCCGTTGGTGAAGTCCCTTGGTCCCTTTGCTGACCATCAATATCAAGTATAAATTAAGATGTTAGGGTGTAGCCAACATCTACTAACGACCCCAGGTTATTTCAAACCAGTGCATTGTTTGCAGTTGAAATCTTAGAGCAAACGACTCCCAGAACGGCCAGCATGGCCTAAGCATGGCTGATTTTGAATGGTTATGATATGTTATGATTTTGGAATATGTTTGATATTTGGATGGGGATTTGCATGGTGCTTGGTGCCCATCTATCCCAACGAACGCCCTGTTCCAGTGGTCAAACCCATGGCTTTCACCACTCGAACCGCTCGGCCCCAGGAAGTGGATCGCGGACCTTTCGGCCTCTGTTTGGGGCTCCAGGCTCTCGACGGGGCGCCATAGAGTGGTCGGGTCCGGTGTGGGCGGAGGGTCTTCTGATCTCTAAGCAACCCCAAGAAGAAGACTCTGCTTTGCGTGTGTTGCATGACCTGTAACAGTCAATAAAGGATTATCACTATTTTTGACAAAAGGGCTGCAACCTAACCATCATCATCCACTGTTACAGGGAATGGGATACACCCAAACTCCGCTCTTCTTCTTTGATCCGCCCCGGAGAGTTTTCCCCCAAGAGCCCCGGGTGGCAGGGGTTGGCGATCGGGGAAAACTCTGCCACCCCACATATCCGGCCCTGAAAGCGGGTGGTCGGAGCGAAACGAAACACCGATCTATTCTCCAAGGGCGCAGCTTCGAAAAACGGACTGAGAGTTGGGGAAACGGTCCCGGGTTCCGCGCCATCTGAAGGTGAGTGGAAGATAGTGGAAGAGAGTAGAGTGCGGAACTCATCATGCGGTTTTGGTTATTGGGTAAGCCTTATTGGTTCGTGGTTGATTTGATGGTGGTCATAGGAAGCACAAGGAGACACTATTATGATCTAATATGATCTATTATGGCCGGAATTGTTGCTTCACTCTCGATGCAGTGTAAAGCAGAAGGATAGATGATAGATGTCAGCAGATGTCGGCAGACGCGTAAGGACTTTGATTTGGACACTTGAGACTTGACCATTCTGGCCTGGCTGGCGCATGGCTGCGGATCGGGTCATGCGTGCTTCCCAAACACATGCGGTTTGTTATGCTGTGCCAAAATTGGTCAGATGCCCTGCCTTAGGGCGACCACCTTGAGTACTGCATATTTGAATCCCCTTACCTGGGGAAGATGTGATATTTTCGTCCCAGCTTCCTGGAGAGCAAATCCGACGTGGACAACGATCGGGAAACGGTAGATTTTCTGGCAGCGCATAGCCGGCCTGAGGCGAAAAAGTGGGGCAAGAAGTTAAGAAGATCAACTTCCCTCAACTTCCCTTTCCCAAACACTCCATGGGACTGGAGTATGTGCCATGCATTGGCCCCTGAAACAACCACCCCAATGTATGCCAATATGCCAGTCATAGACACGCCGTGTTTTGTGGATTATTGCTCTCTCCACTTAAGACGAGGTTTTTGTCCCCTTGCCCTAACAGGACCCTGCGTGGACAGGAGATCTCTTCGTCGGGGTGCCTGAGCCGAAAGAGGAGAAGTTTCACATGGAAAACAACCTTGCAACAACCCCCAGTAAAGTTGTTGGCCCTGAAAACTGCTGTGAAAACACATTTTGCCCCGAACGTGGCTGGCTTTTGATGTTCAAGAAAAGCAGGACAGTTCGCATGATTTCGCATGCAACTGTAGTGAAACGAACATTTCTGCAAACGCGGGGGGATTTCGGCGTAAACAGCTTGGAAGATGTAAACACATCAGACATGTACGTGCTGAACATTGCGATTTTCATGCAACAATAGTTCATTATTTTATTTTACGCAGTCTTTCTTTCAGCCCGGGGAAGTTTGCCGCACTGTTCACGCAAGTGACATTCGCCCAGGCCGCAACACTGGCGAAGGGAGGTGTGCTGCTCAGGGTTGTCGGTTGTGGCACCAACATGTTGCCCCTACAAGATGATCCACAAAAGAACCAACCACACATTATAAGCTGGTTGCTACCAACCACATGTTTGTAGGCTGTGACTACAAGATGGTTCCGTGGATTCAAAGGGCAGCCTGCCACAAAATGGATCATGGACCCACAATCTCATCGGGCTCACGTGGTGGAGAAGTGACCAAATCCCCCGAGAATAGGATCCATGCTTGGTCGTAGAGTAACTCTGGCAGAAACGCGTTTTGCCAATTCAATATTTTTTTCCATGGCACTCTAGATTTCTGGTCTAAACATGCCGTTTGTTGGAAGTTCGACGCATCTGCTGGTTGAACGGTTCAGGCAGATTGTTTTTTTTGATGTATTTTGTGACATCCATTTATATATATGTATATAAATATATTACAATATAGACGACATACACAAAAAACCCACACTCAAGAAAATGCGTACTGACTCGATTGTGGTTTGCCACACGCCAGGCTAAGTAAAACGCCTAAGGGTCCAGGTAAAAATGGAGCGGAGTTCAACCAGATCCAACTGCTCAAAGGTTTCCAACCGAACCCGAGCGATCGACGTGCGCAAGTCTGCAGACCTCAGATTCACCTAAACAGCCTGTCCAATTAGAAGAGGAGGTACTTACAGAACATCACACTTGAGAAAGCAGGTGCACAGATTGGCGTCCCAATCTGCTTCACGGAGTAGCCACGGCTGTCTTCGTTGGCAGCAGAACTTGTGGACTCCCTGCTGCCCCCCCCCTGCTGTGAACCAAGTCCAAGAACAAAAACCAATTCAACGGAATCCCTGTGACTCCAAGGATCTCCAAGGGTTTAACACACACACACAGTCACACTCAATGACTTGCCTCACAACCTGCAATCATTCTCATCACATGGGTGGCACCGCCATGACAATGGATGCAGTAATTGTGCTGCAAATACCTTTATATATTGTTTCCATTGGGGGTTGTGGACCAATGTGCTGGTACTGGTAGATGACTTTTGTCACTTCCCTGTCTTTTCCTGCCAAATACGGAATCAGAGCTTCCCGTCTTCATGTTGGGTAATTTTGCAACATCGTTTTCTGGTGGTCAATTTTACAGTATCGTAGTGTTATTTAGTTTTCAGGAGGACCTTCCAATTAATGGAGCAGACTTTGCAAAAGCAGCAAAACTGAGGTCCTCTATTTGCACCAGATCAAAGCGCCACTGCCTGGTACTCCAAAGTCGTTTGCCCAGGCCATGGGATTGGGAAGCAGGACGGAAGACGGAAACCTCTTGGTGAATGCTGCTCTGCGTCTTCGTGTCTGGTCCACAAATTTCTCAAGGTCCAAGCAAGTGCGTCTTCCATTTCAGGGTAAAACTTAACGTGCAAGCTTGCCAAGTTGAACATTGTTTTTGGCGATTTACTTAGTGGGTTTCCAGTGCGGGAATTGATTGACAAGCTCTCCATCGGAATAAGTTTCAAAGTTGGTGAGAAATTGCAGCAGGGGACCCTATGACCAGCAGCATGCTGCTCATGTCTTGCTGTCTTCATCATGCCGTTTGTAAAATCGAGAAATTCCTTGAAGATCCACTTGGAACCCTCAGAATCCGTCGAAATGCTTGCCGTGGCGACTCAGTGCCACTGGGCCATCAAAAGGCCATCTTCGGGCGCCGGCTGGTAAGGTGGTCTCGAAGCTCTGGGTGAATGCACAGCGCAACGCCTTGCCCCTCCCGCGGGACAGCCGAGATGTGTTTTTCAACGGTGAGACGTGGTGGGGGCTCAGAAGCTCGCGTGGAGAATGTTTGTTTTTTTGACGGTTACTGATTTGGATCGTCTGTTAATTATATTATGATGGTTGTGACGTGATGGTTTTAGATTCAATGGTTGTTGATGTCTATTTTTTTGGCTAGCTATTCTTTGCTAGAGGTCACCCAAACGAATGAGGTAGGTGCACGAACGGTGTAGTTGAGCGGAGTGACTCCGTATGCAACGTATATGGGAGACTGCCGGAAACCAAGCACAAAATAGATCCTTGTAGCTATAATAAGACAGCCACATGTTCTTATAGGATCTGATAATGATCCGAGTTTAAGGTTCAAAGGTTGCGTTCTTGTCAGAGGGACCAAATGGGACATGGACAACGTCTCCAAATCAAGGCCAAGAGGGTGGGACAACGTTCTTGGGCCAACAGGACACCTCAAGCTGAGCATCTGGTAGGCCAGGAGATCGGCATGAACGCAGCTTGGACCGCTTGCTTTTTTTTTCAGCCTCAATCAGGAGGTCTGTTCGATGTGAAAGATCGGTTTCTTTTCGCACCAGGACGGTTAGAACTTCAAACACCCATTCCACAGGGAGCTCGGCGGGTTTCTTTCTGAGGCCATTGCTTCAATCCATAGGCGGGGAGCTCGGACGAGTCGGACTGGCGAAAGAGACCGGGCAAGGACGAGGACTTCGGGTCACCGGTTGGTGGGGTCGGAGCCCTCCGCCCCCAAAAGGATCCCAAACCGGATGGAGATTCCGCACGCGAGGACGCCCGTCCAACGCGGCCAGAAACCTGGGCCGTCCGTCACGCGTTTTTTTTAAATTGTTTTTTCATGTTTGAGACCCAAGCAGGCGCGCGCAGCCGAACCACACTGTTGGCACAGTTAAGAGCTGGCAGTGTTTGCCTACTTTTGTTTTTAAAGAAGAACTACAGTATATAGATTTCAGAGTGGAAACAAATGGATATCTATGGTCCGAACATGCTGAGAATGGTCCGAACACCCTCGAGAGGTTCTGTTCGGACTGATCATCGGCGCTGCTCTTCAGCTGCGGCAGGTTTAGACGAGAGCCTTCTGGAGCGGTTCCGGGGCCCAGCTGCGGCCCAGAGACGATGACCAGTTCACCACCGTCAATCCCACAAGTGAGACAGCCTGCAGGTCACCGGTTTAGGGACATTTAAATGGGATAGCGAAAAGAACAACGGCAAACAGGTGGAAAGTGCAGTTGACCCTGCACCCTTATTTTCCAGTCACACTGAGGGAGTCAGATTAAGTACCAATCCCAAACAAGCAGCATCAAGAATCAAGAGTCGAAACAAGACTTAAACTACCATACGGGGATGCCTGCAATGCTTGGACACAGGGGGTGCCTTAATTTTTATTTTTCCAGGGCCAGTTTTTTTTTGTATTTTTTGCCCGAACGGGCCCGACTTCTTCGCATGGGCCGGAGTCCACCGACCGTTTCGAATCAGGGTAGCAGCGGACAGCTGCGGATTTTCAGTACCATTTCAAGCACCACCAGAGCTGGCATCCTCACCTTGCTTAAAACACGCCAAGTATTGCAAAACGATGCAAAACGATGAATACTTAAATCTCGTGCAGGTCCATGCAGGAACATGCAGGAACTTAGCCAAAACCTCGACCAGCATGTTCATCAGGCTCGTTCTTTGAAAACAAAACAGTTGCACACCTGGAGTCCTTGTGAACTCTTTTTGGTGCAAAGTCATACAGGAAATCATCAGAACATCAGTCATACAAGAAATCATCAGAACATCAGGCATGAAGTTCATGAAGTGACGGCTACATAAGTGAGGGGTTCAGGGAGTGACAGGGGATCACAATCCCCATTAGACCCTATAAATATAAATATAACTTGATATACTTGCTATACGGGTGCCAGGGACATGAGTTGTGGGGCTTGGGCTTAGGCCTTGGTCCGAGCTCTCTGGCGGCGAAAGCCAGCGGATGATGTTCGCCATCGCGGGGAGACTCTGCCGACGGATGATGTTCCCCGTGATGTGCGTGCGGGGCTGGCGTGAGGCGTGAGGTCAAATCGACCCGTGGCGTGCAATTGTATACAATTCATTTGTAGAATTGTCATGATACAATTTTCTCAAACAAACCCCACCAATGAGTCCATGAGGTCGAGCTTAATTTGAAATGGTAATTTCCCAGGGGGAAATGGTACGGTAAAATTCACTGAACGAACAGGTGAATTTGTATTTATTGTCTCAATGGGCGACAGCCCTTCTGGGGAATAGTTATTTGTCCTTGAGCAACTCCAAGTAATGACCGGTATGTACCTGGCGCTTCCGTTCGGGTAGCCTGGCTGGACAACCCAGGCAGCTGCTTCGGATGGTCTCCAGACAGGACACCCAGACAGGAAGCGCTAGGTAGGAGATGTCCGTTTAAGATTGAACACGATTTGGGTAGGATAGCATGATTGGTTTTAGACTCAATTGAGACGGTTTCTTGATATGGCCTATTAGCTTGAAACAATTTGAACAACCACCATTCTGATACGAGGAATCGAAGATGAACTGGTGAGTGCCACCACTCTTTGTTTAGAGTACACCCGAGTTGATGGGTTTCAACTACTGTTTCTCTATTCCTTGAGGACCAGCTGTCGGTGCTTAGCACGCGCACGCCGCGGAATCCTACGCGCCCTTGCTGAATCCTACGCGTACTGAGGCCATGGCCACCGAGCCAGCCTGTTTGGTCTTGGACGAGCCAACCAGCGCGCTGGATGAGGCGACAACGGGTCGACGGCGATGGGCGTGCCCTCAGGGCCCGGCGGTTGAAAGAGGACCCTTTACGGAGGTCGACCTCGACCCCGAACGGAACCGGCTCGCCACCTGGTTGAAAAATTTGATCAACCCAGGACGCCTTTTCTATCATCGACTCGGATATACTTGAAGGAAGCACGGCCCTGCCGCCACGGCCCTGCCGCCACGGCCGTGAGTCGGTCGCCCCCGGAAGCTCGGCCACCTGAAGCGGAAGCCGCGCTGAAGCTTCGCCATGTGCACTTGGAAGGAGACCCTCCAAGCATTGAGTTGTCGATTGAACTGCGGAATGCCAGGGTGGTTGAACTGCGGAATCTCCAAGAACCGTTATGCAAAAGCAGATGGCAAGAAGTCTTTCTAACAATATTATAGTCAATCCGTCAATCAGTTGGCTTTGGTGTTTGTTCCTGTTCTTGTTGCACTTCAGTAATGCTTTTATCTCACACCTGCACCATGCACGCCTCATGCACGGTCAGCCAGCGGACCGCGAGTCGACCGTCGGTTGTCTCACTGCCGGAGGCGTCCAAGCGTTTGGTCGAGGAGGTGCTTCAGAAACGAGGCGAGACACCTCTCACGGCGCGGTCGTTTTGCCCCGTGAACCGTGGAGAACCATCCGGCGAGACGGGGGTCTTGCACCGATCGAAGTCTTGCACCGAGCAACGACAGCGGCGATCGGGGGCGATTCGACCGATTTCTACCGATTATGGTTGTGTTTCTTTTTTGTTGCGGCCAGCCAAACGGAAGGTGGATTTGGAATGATTTGGATGGTCCAGGAAAAGGCCGAAGAACAAGCTTCCTGACGGAACCTTCGGTCCGATGGGGCGCTTTGAGCCATTCCCTGCCATTCTTCTGCGCAAAAGACCGCAGAGACAGGCAAAGATTCCTGCATTATTCTGGCCACCCATGATCCCAAGCAAGCTGAACGGGCATGGGCACCCAGAGGGAGGCACCCAGAGGGATGATGCGTGTGTCTTAGACAGATGTTTGTGTCTTAGACTGGCCACTTGTATTCTTTTTTTGTTTAGGAACTCTTGTAGATTCGGACGCCCAAACAGCGTCATCGATTTGTCGATTATATACATCCACATCCTGAACACCACAGCCCTGTAGTCGATGCGATGCGGAGTACTTGGAGGGTCCTGCAGCGGAGTGTTCCATGGTTTGGCACCAAGAGGCAATTCAACAGGCCTGAACGAAGGGATGCTTTCTGATGTTGACTTGACTGACAGGTTTGCACATTTTTCCGAAAAGACCATGCTTCAGCTCGCGGTTGTTGGGAAGTGGGGGTCATGGTGGATAGAAACACCCTGAACCTCTGCAAACCTCCTCAAACTCCCTGGACCTCCTGAGGTTGGCTCTGCGCTCTGGAGCTTCTCTGTTGGGCCATGAGGAAAAAAGACGAGCGCCCCTATATTGAGCACTCTTTTGACTCTTTTGTGAAGACCATGTCGTCCTGGTAAAAGGGTGGTCGCAATCATCTTTCGCCTCCGGCCGAGGTCGCGCCGAATGTGGTGGTCGATGTTTCTCCCCCAAACCACCAAACCACTGGTTCGTAGAAGAACCTCGTGATGGGGAATCAGGGTCCATGTTAGCTGACTTGCTTGTGAAGGCTTCACTTACTTTTGCCAGACATAGGGATTGGATGTTTTTCCTCTGCGGGTTTCTACCAGCACTTTGCAAGAGGTTGTGGTATTTCGAGTGTGTAATCAACACTTTCGAAGGTCTGGAGACCTTAGGCCTTGGCGACAGAAAAACACCTTCGGGTCGTCTCCAGTGGAATAGAACAGGTTGAAGTGGAACCAATTGGGGGGGAAGTTCCACTTCAAAAACGAACAGGTTCCACTTCAACGTCTGCTTCCAATAAGAACGAAATTGAACACCTGGTCTGGCTGGTTTGGCACTTCAATCACCTATCGGTGTCGTTTTGGAGACCTCCCAGAGTCGTAGGCCCATGCCCATCCCCCTGGTCTGGCAGCACGCCTGCTTCAGCTGGGGTCTGTGTGTCGTTATTCATTGGCAGGTTTTCTTTTCGAGGGTGATTAGCTCATGTTTGAGGTTTAGGCAAAGCCTTGCTTTTGAAAGCTGCAGAATGTCGAGTCATAACACAAAAGGGTGCTGGGTTTGCCTGTGAAGTGGATTGAGTGGTCCTACTTCTTTTTTGAGAAAGAGAGAGGGAGAGAGAGTCGGGCTGCCCATGCCACCAACCCTGTCCAGATGACTGAAGGCCACTCAAGGCTATTGGTTTGTTGGTATATATTGGATTGAGAGTTGTTTGATTGTGTTAATGAAGCTGGGAAGGGTTCAGCACTGGACTTGAGCGTTGACACCGACGACCGGTAGCCTCGCTCCGACCGGAATAGCCTGGCTCCAACACTGAAAGGGAGTCCGCGCCGGTCTGAAGCAATGGTGGTTCCACAGGCGAAGCGGAAAACAGTCTTGAGCGGAAGCCGATTCGGTCGGAGTTTGTGGAAGGAAGCCATCAAGAACCTCTGTGTCGATTGTCCCATCCATCACAGTGTCACATGATGTCAGAAGGTGTTTTATGTGGTTTTTGTTTTTATATATTTTTTTTGGTTGGTTGTGCCTTGTCATTATTTATACCGTCGCTGGTTCAGGTGATAGGGTTCTCTTTTTTGTTTCCTGAACTCATCGAACCGCCTGGTGTTTTCATGTGTTTTCACCCAATGTGTGTGCTGTTTCCCAGTGGTGAAGATGGGAGATGCGACATGAGTTGGCCCAGAAAACCCTCAGCGGTCGAGGCGTTGCGCGCGTGGCGCTTTCCTCCTCTGGGCCGCGGCTTGGGACGACGCTTTGCCGGGGACTCCGGGACCGCAGGGGATGGATGGGGATGGCATTTGAGACTGGTAGATGAAGGAAGCAAGCATGTGTTGGAACCTCAGGAGGAACGGTATCCAGGTGTTTCTACAGTTTGTTGAAGGACATGTTGCATGTTTAAGCTGGGCAACGATTGGATGTCCGTGCTCGTTGGTGCAATAACAAAAACTTGTTAGACCATGGAGTCTTATATACTTAGCATATTATACATTAACATATATTTATATATACAATAATAACCTGATCTGGGAAAGTGGTCTGTTTCTATTGGCCATCCAAAAACGACTAGGCGTTTCCCTGGTGGTTTGGACGGAGAACCTAGAGGCGACGGTCGATGCTTCACATGGTTTACAACGATGTCGGAGTGTCGGACATACCCCGACACCCGACCGTGCAGAAGGAGAAAGCAAGGAAGTGATGGATGGAAGGATTCCAGACGTTTTTTTTTAAATCTCTTTTAGGGGAAATGGAACACACACCACTTCATACTATACCACTTCTATGTAAACTGCTCCCTAAGAACCCAGACCCTCACATGGAAAGGGTTTTGGTGTGGGTCCAGACCCCGAAGAGAAAGAAGATGAAAGAAGGTCGTCCGGAGTTTTGAGGCATGCGGTGAATGCTGAGACTTTGCTGATCGCCGTGAGTCGCGGGTATGTCTCCGGACCACCGACCTGCGGACAGACGGACCGTCTTGACACCACAAGTCTGCTCAATCCACAGTGGCCAGACCGATGGACCGAAGGCCTTTTAAGGATTCATTGGTAAAGATATGTAAAGATATGTCAAGATCACTTTTAATTAGACGCCCAAAGTTTGCCTCAGCACTTGATGTATCACCAACTCACTATTAATATGGATATGTATATAGGCCCGCATCACTTCCAGGATGGTTCGCAAGGGGCGAACCAAAAACGCAGCACCACCCAGGCCGCTGCCGCAGCACCAGCGGCCACCAGTGGCAAGGTCTCCCAGGTGATCGGCGCTGTGGTGGACGTGCCTGACCTCAGCAAAAACGGCAAGAGAAGAAGTGCACATTGGTGGAGGACTGGGCCACCCCGCAGAAAGTGGACGACTGGGCACGTCTTTTTTTGGTGGGGGGGGCAAACACTGTTGGCCAGGCCAACATGGTTTACTGTAATGGGGTTAAGTTAAATGAAGGGGTGTCCCGTGTGAGCTGGAGATGAATTTCTTGATAGCGCACATTACAGCACAAAGAAGTTGGTGTTTACTTTCCATTCATGGACCCCCTGGCCAGTGTGAGCTTGTCTCAGAGTGAGTTTGTCTCAGTTTCATACCTGTTCACAGAGATGCACATGAACTGCAAAGCCAAGACCTGCCTTCCTGAGGTGCAGTTTGATTCTGCCCTGCCACCCATCCTGAATGCTCTGGAGGTGGGATGCTGAACTTTGACATTGCTACACTGTTTTTCCGACGCAGCTCTCCGTGTCCAAATCCATCCAATTTTCAATGGCACCACAGCCAACACGCATCCAACACCCATAGCCCATACTCCATTCATGTTTGGCAGTAGAGGTATGTTGATGGCGGGGACTGCTGCGACCAGGTAGGGTGGTCGTTCAGAAGCTCGATTAGGAAAGCCCACTGGCTGTGGGTCGTACCACCAGCCCAACCAGTGAAGCCATGTAGTCTTTCACGACCGAAAGACCTGGTAGGTCAACCGGTCGGTCGACCGTGGGGTTCACCACAGCCAACTGACAACGAAAGGAAGAAACAATGGCCAACAAAAAACACGCAAGTCTGACCGTCAGATGCGAGGCCTTACAAAAGGTGGAGGGACTGACAAAGGTGGAGGTGGAGGGATTTGGGGTGGATGGCTACCCGCCCGTTGAGTTTGGTCACCAGCATCCCGTTTGAGCACTGAGAATGTCATGAGCACAGCTGGATCCGTCTGACCAAAGATCATCAGGTCCGCCGAACACGTTGGGATCCGCCGAGCACGCGCGTTGTGCGCGGTGTTGTGGAGTTCTTCCAGGTGGAAGGCTTTGAACATCGCCTGGTTTTGGAAGTGGCGCAGCACTTAGGCTGGCCAGTCGACCCCCTCAGTGGGGTGAGGTTGTCGACAGGTCGAGAAAAAGAAAGTGTTTTGCTATCTGTTGCATAAATATATAATATAGTTATATCTATCTACTATCTAGAATCTAGCCTATTTTAGTCCTTTCATCCAGGATGAAGCTTTCTCTCCCTGCATGAAGTTTCGGTCTCCTCTAAGGGATTCAAACCTCTCAGTGCTCAGTGCTGGCACGGTGCATATTCTGGCTTTTCTCGTCGTACACAGCGAGAACAGCCATGGCCGGATGGCCAGGCGAGAACATGGTGCGCACCATCGCGATGGATGGTACTGATGGCCTGACACGTGGGCAGAAGGTGCCCGGTTTTGGCGACGTCGACGTGCCAGATCTCACCGGGCTTTCAAAAACCACCGGGACAGATGGAACAAGCATTTACTGTACTGGTTGCAACGGAGATAGACATTCAAAGATGGTCTTCTGGCTTCAGGCAACTAGGGATGTAGCCAGTTGTGGTGACTTGAAGGAACGTGTAGGGTCTTGTAAGGAACTCGTTTTTCCACCGAGGAATCTGATTGAAAACCACCCACGCTGCGGGATTTTTGGTGATTCTTTTTAGAGTGATCACCCTCCGTGCCATGACCAACCTCTGTGAAAAAACATCCAATTGGCTGGTTGGGCTGGACCCTTCCTGCGGGTGTTTTTCTTGCGCTCGGGTGCTGGGTTTCCAGGAGAAAGTGACTGAGCCTGTTGTGCAATTCAGACGCCCAGGTTACGAATTCTTGAGTGTTTGGGTCTTTTTGGTGCTTGGTTTGATCAATCAACCTCTTGGACCCAAAACGTTTTGCCACCGCAATCGCTCTTGGCGAGCGGGAGCTTTGGCCAGCTCCACCGCGGGCTGCCCTGTACGTCCACTCCACCGCTCGGACGAGGTCATCGACACGGGAGCACCCATCACTGTTCCAGTGGGAGAACAGACGTCGGGAAGCTCAAGCTCCGGTCGCGAGGTGCTCGAACATGATATTGCGGAGATTGACGAATTTGGAACATAGAACCAGAGAACCTTCATCATGGCCATCGTCATTTCTCATTCTCATTGTCGTCATTGTCGTCGTCATCATGGCCCAAACTTGAGCCGGACTGAAGCGTACAACAATTTGTGAAGGTTGGACAGGTGACAGGTACCACAGTTCCTGGTGTTCGAGCACCTCACATCTGGTGAAAATCGTTTCTTTTGACATTATTCAATTCAAAGCTTCTTCAACCCATCAGCGTGATCAACAGTATTGATTTACAGATTTTACAGCCGTGGAGCAACATGCAACAACATGGATCATCTTGAAACACAGGCACCCTTGCCACCCTTTCCTCTTCTTTCTTCACATATAATATGTTCAGGGTGTTCAGGGTGTGTGTGTGTGTGTGTCTGTCTGTGTACCATTACTGTTACCAGTAACTTTAACAGCCGGTGAACGATCATCACTATGTTTGAGAACAGTTAGTACTGCGCCCTGATCATGGCATATACCCAACATATAAATGTTCCACAATCTTTGGAGTATTTGTGATGATTCTACAGATCCATGGATCCCAAACCGCTGTCTTGAGACGACAAAACCCCGACTGAGATAGCCAATTCTGAGGCTGGGGCGCATTATCAATATTATCGGTGAGCCCATTGACGAGTTGGGCCCAATTGAGACGAAGAAGTCCGGATACCCAGGAGATGAGGAGTTCGAAGAGCTTCGGATTCCGGATGCCCACCATTGATTTACAGTAATGTTGTGTTTTTTCCCCTGAAATATCTATATAATCAGTGGTTTACGGAGCTTAGACGACAAAACCAGCTCAATATATTAGTAATGGTGGCTGCATTGGGAGGGGATCTCAGATTCTTTCTTGGGGTGGATTCCTTTCTTGGAATATGTGCTATAGTTTTCCCCGTTTTGGACTCTGCAGCAAATCCAAAGAACCACTACAGGTCTATAAGTCTGTTGAAAAGATGTACGAGAAGGAACAAGGTATTGAGCTTTGTGACAAAGTATGGTGATTCCTTGTAAACGAGAACGCGTGTTAAAACCGCTGATAACAAACCAACATATACGGGTTACAGGAGCCCTAGACATCCGAAAACCATGTGTTTTTTTCCTGAAGCATAGGCTGACTTTGCCCAGCACGTAGTGCTTCCCTGTTGTCATGGTTCAATCAAATGCTTCGTGCACGGATTAAACGATAGTAACTAACAACCACAAACACAAGTTTACAAGACAAGCCTAGATGTCTGGAGAGAATGTCTGCAGCAATGCCAGAGGTTTGGGCGAGACCTGTCGGACCATGCTAATCCTGGTGTCGAAACACTGTCAAAAACAACAACATCAGACAGGATCAGCTTCTTGGGGTTCGACTGGTAACTAAGGGTTCTTTTAAAAGGGAGACCTCCCACAGACCCCCTGGAGTGTTCGGAAATAGACTAGAACCAACCGGTGGGGGGTCTCCATATTAAAATGCACACCCACATAACAAGGTACTTCCAAGGGACTTCCGCTCCAATCCTCGAGTTCACGGACCGCGTGCCCTCGCGGAGACATGAAGCGGGGCAGACTTGCTGAACTCGAGGTTCTACGCCATCCACCGTCCCACGCCAACCTTCACGGAGATGAACACCACTGCACAGCAGTTGCTCACGGGCATCAAGGCCAGCCATGTGGGCCGGGCTATGAGGGTATGAATCAACACGTTTGTATATAGCCCAACCTGGTTTTTGAATGATAAAGAATGAAGAACCATTAGTACAGCAATTTTTTAAATGTATCCCTAAGAATCCTTGGGTCTTCCATGGCATGGGTTGGACCCGACACCTTCGCACGGGTCTGGTTCCGAACCGAACCCTTTCGAACCAGAATTCTTGACAATGGCATAGCGAGAAGATCAGGGAGGTTGCGAATCCTCCGAGTTTTTATTGTTTAGGATCAATTACCATTCTTCGTGGATGTGCTTCTCCGCAATCCGACTTTCTGGCAATTCATCCGGGGGTTCAAGAGTATACTATAATATTATAGCTGACAATACATTCTTATATATTTCATATGCCAAGTACAAGATTTACTTACTTACCGGACAAACTTGCAGCGACAGACAACAAATCTTGAGTTCTGCGCCAACAGCTCTTCCACACTTCTTCCAGCGGCTGAAGACTGAAGCCTCTCTACTTCCTGGAAGATTCTGTTGCACCCGAGGCCACGCCCAAGTGGCGTTCAGAGGTTCGATAGCACCCTTTCGGGGTCTCCAAGAGGTCTAAAGAAAGATGGGTCTCCATCATTGCAGCTCATCACTTGGACATGTTTGCCATCTATCTTCTCAATCTATACTCCTCTCAGGACTCTTGGGCTCCAATCCCCCCCCAACAAAATACCGAGGACGCAGCCCTTTTCTCTTGTCCGAGGTCGTGGACCTCTTGGCACCCTACGCCAAGGGCGGTAAGATTGGCCTCTTCGGTGGCGCCGGCGTGGGGAAGACGGTCCGGGCCACGGGGGTCGACCGTCCGGTCGACTTCGCCAAAAGGAAAGCATGTATTGATTGGTTGAGCCACGATGATGGGGAAGGCGCTTCAAAAAAACACTCTTAGTGGGTGGTACGAAATAAGATATATGAGGCCCTATATCATCTCTGGAAAGAATGCATGGGTCCATGGGTTCTTTCCATTGGTGAGCCCCGTTTGAGTTGGGCCAGCCAACGAACTCAGCATGAGGTGGTGATCATGGAGCTCATCCACAACATTGCTGGGAGCCCTGGGTTGTGTTCCAGACTTCACAGCAAAGCTGTAGACTGTCAGCTGACCAGATGCCTTTTAAAGATCATTGCCTCGGCTGGCATGGTTTCCGCTGGCATGGATGTTAAGTGCAAGCGAAGTCGCTACGTTCTGTTCAGCATCGATCTTTTCAAGAGTATCCAATGGATTTATATGAATTTCCCAGACGCTCATTGACCCTCAAACTGCTACATGTTTGAGGTCCAAAACCCTAGTTGTGAGGGTCCAAACCCAGACCGCGAACTGAGGGTCCAAGCGTCGCGTCTGGGTTGTACACAAATCCTCAATGTTCCACAGACAAATCAACATCCTTCTGGTGGACGGGGAGAAGCCGTGATTCCCAACCCACCCGGTTCCCAACCCGTCGAACCCCTCGGTGTCCGTTTTCACCCGGTGTCCATCATGGCTCGACCGAACCTCCGGCGGGCCACGACCCCCTTGGGGTTCGGTGAAATCGGCAACCGACCGGCCCTGAGGGCGAGGGCCGGTGATTTCAAAGACTGCTCCATCCATGGCGACGTGGAACATGGCTCCGATTTCGGACTGAATTCCTCTATGAACAGGCTGTCCATGATCGTTTCAGGGAAGGTACACACCGATAGCTTGAGAATGGTATGGAAGAGTTCCCAGACCATCCTTAGTAGAGTAGATAGTTACCTACCTTGGGGGTCATATCAGAAATATGGGGCTTCCAGTCCCGGAAGAGGATCGATGCCCAGTGTCTCCGAGTCGAGGCCTTGAAGCACGGTGGTTATAGTGTCTTCGCAGGTGTAGGCGCAGCACGGTGGTCGTGTGACATGTGGGAGGGAAGAGAAGCAACCGGAGTGGTTGGCGAGTGGAGGGGGGGACGTCATACGAATGCAAATCATATTATATACATGTCATTCATTATATAGTAATATATATCATATATAATCAAATTATATATACATGTCATTATGTAATATATTTAATATATATATATTATATTTGTGTAATTATGTTTTCCCTATATCTGACACATGCTGATTCTGAAACCTATTGCCTATTGTGCCTGCTCCTTTGAACACCACACAAGCGTTCGGAACTACTGGTCGTGTGGCGTGAACGGGTCAGGAAATCATGTTCGACCCACTTTCGGAAGTGCGAGAGATCCAGAAAACGGTGCGGATTTATTTGGTCGATTATTTTCTCAACAGACGATAGAGGTTTGGGAACAGCTGGGAGGTTTGTGGTTGTTTAGACGCAAGGACACAGCTGGCAAGAGCCAAACGGAGTGCAAGACATCACCCCCAGGATAGTCTTCATTGTTTTGGGTTGAAGGGTATACCTGGTGCACTCTTCGTTCAAGTTGGCTGCTTGGAGATGAATTGACAATTTGTTGGCAATGTATTATTTGGAAAGGCGTTGAAGCACTGTAAGTAGAGGCCGTACAACTCAGGCGGTTCCTACAACTCAAATGGACTTGAAAAGGTCCAAAAGCTAAGCCAGATGATGCCAGATGCGCCGGTCTGAGCTACCTGTGCGGATGGCACACGTGCCGCGCAGTCTTCATATTATGAGTCGCGGCTGTTTCATGAAGTGAGAGGTCGGCTCAAGTCAGATCCAAGAAGTTCAGATCCACCATAGGCATAATTCTTTGAGTCCCAAGAAAGGACATCTGTGCGAAACGAACATGCAAAGGCCAAGAGGCTAAGTGGAAACTGGATGAACATGCTCATGTACAGTATCTTCTATGGAGGATCAGGGTGCGGAAATTCGGCTTCATGGAGGACAAGGGTGCTGAGACGTGGGACGTATGGGTCCAAACGACAGCCAAAAGACATTGAGCTGCTAGGATACAGAACCCTAGGCTTCCTGGCCCACCATTCATTTAATAGGCTGAATCCCGAATCAACTGGTTTTACACTACAAACACCAGGTCAACCATTTTATTAACGGCCTTGGAAGTCTAGGGGAATGTTCTTGTTATACAAACGATCGATCTCCAAACGTCATGCGGGTCCTTGATCTTGGTCACGTGATGCGCTCCTAGGGAAGGTTATGCATAGGTACCCCCAAGTCGGTACCCTCAACGGGGCAACGAAGCGAATTGAATTTGTTACATTGAGGATCTTTGCTTTGAGCCATGGGGCAATGCTCAGCATGCTACGAGGGCTTGGAAGCGCTTTGGCAGCGAGACCTCCCTGCTCCGAACAGTGGGAGCGTCCGGTTGCCCTGGCGCCGGTGGCGCCCACGCCACGTGGCGCACGAGCGGAACGCCGCGCGTGCGCAACGACACTGGGGGAAGCTGAGAGCGCTAGTATGGGCGCAAATCGCCTTTCGCCTGCTGTTGCAAGAGCTCAGGATTCGGGAGGCCTGGAATGGAAAGCTCAACGGAACATGATTCATGATTCAGGATGTGTGTGGCTGTTTAGGGCGGTTTGAGTACAGTATGTGTATTTCCTTCGTGGGGATCTCGAATTGCACAGGATGAGTGTGCCGACTCGTCAGTCTGTCAGGTGTGCCGACTCTACGATGAGGATTGGAGCGAGGTGGGAACACCATCTCTGCGGAGACCTTCCCTGAATTGGCGGAAAGTGCACCTTGGCAGATGGTTCGACCCGATTCTCGGATCGTCCAGGTCAGGAGACAGATGTAGCCGGAGGCCATCGCATCCGGACGCTCGGTGGAGGCCATCGCAAGCAGGTTGGAGGCCATCGCTACTATTCATCAAGCATTTGATAGCTCATCCTAGAAGTTGGCGATTTGCGTGAAAGCAAACAGTTGGTTGGTGCGGGCCCAATCCAATCCCAAAACCACCATGCCATTGTGGCCAAGGCAAGCACTGGCATCAACCTCGGCTGCTGCACTGCAAGAGCTCTTGAATGAAGTCAGATGCTCGACATTTCATTGGCCCGGGCTGAGAATGCACCAAATCCAAGTCGGAGATGACCTGTTGGACATACCCTCCCCCCCAACAAACATGGAAGTGGATCCGCCCTCTTGGTAGATGGCTTCGGAGGGACTTCTGCACTTCCAGGATTGTTGGAGGGAGGGTATCTCAAGACTTTTGCACTGGTCAACAAATCCGTTTAACTGCGCGATGGAGGGATCAGATGATGGGTCATGGGTCTCTCCAGTTCTGCACCAGTTCAGGCACCAGTTCACCTTGGCACACCAGGTTCTTGCAAATCGGACGGGAAGATCACGAAGTTTCGACACATTCAATGCGTCAGATTTTAGACTATTTAGATCTCAAGGGATTGTGTTTGTGAGCTTGCCTTCAAATCTTGAGCGAGCTTGTTTTGTCCTGTTCTCAAACCCAAGTCAACTACTGGCCGATTGGCCTTGGCGCAAGTTGGGGGAAGACTCATGTTCAACATGGACACTCCAATATGATTCCTCATGTCTGTGGGGTTCCCATTCCACACAATTCCCCGCTGAGCGGCAGGAAGCAAACAAGCTGAGAATCTTTACGCGGCAGATTGGAGTGCTTTGGCCACAACTCTTGAGGGTGAGCCAGGACCTGTGAAAATTCCAGTTGCTCCGCGTGCTGAGAACTGCTGGTGAGGCAGTGACAGGCGTCACAGGGTGAGGTTCGATGCACCATGATGCAAAAAAAACACCATGATTTGGTAGAACATCGCTCCCTCTATTAACCTGGTTCTTCAAAGTGACCGTCCTTGATATCCTGGTTGGTTCGGTCACGAACAGGCCTGTAACAGGTCACTTGAACCCATTGTTTGACATAGACTTCCTGGAATCATTTTGCTTAGAACGACCATGGCCTCGTCTCAAGGACGACCATCCGCAAAACGGCCCCATGATCCGGGTGGTGCCATCCACCAGGACGTAAACCATGACGTCTTTCGAAAGGACGATCGCCCTTTGCCGCTGCTTTTCGGAGAAAACCCATGGTATCTCCCAGTATATCCCAAGGGTATATTATCATATATTATCCTATTAATCCCAGTATTAACTCCCAGTATTATCCCAAGGTATATCCCATGGATATCCCATGTATGAACTCGTATGATCCCATGAATAGGCTTGCCCTCGCGATCCGCCCTCGGTAGACCTTTGTTGATCCACCGCTTCGCCCGAGACACCGCGTTCCACGAGGGGTCACGGATCCACCGTGCTCCACCGTCGGACCGTCGCCTTCGTCGTCGGTCGAGTTCATCAATGAACCGGTGAAGCGACTGACGAGCTGGCGACATGTGGCAATTCAATGTCTTGGAACTGAATACTTTGTGGATGTGATAGCCCCGGGGTATGTTTTTGTTGGACAGATCCGAGATCTTCAATTACATTCGATCACCGGATTTACCAGGGTTTGATCCAGCACGTGCATCGACTCACCCTGTCTTCAGACTTGGTCGAGCAAAGCGAGGCGTGCGGTTCCGCGCGGAAGTCGCATCGGCAATACGGCTTGCCATGTGTTCTGTTCCAGGTTGGATCAGCTATCCATCCAGGCCGCTCTTTCTGCAAGTTTTCCACCCAAATGGCCTGAACATGGAATGATATGGAAAACAAAAATGGGTCGGCTTTGTTCTTCGAGGGCGCGTGCTTTTCATGTGATGTGAGTTTTGGGAAGCTTGATATCCGAGATTGGATGATTCTGCGAATGTCAGCCCTGAAATCAGACACGGCAAGCTGGGCAAAGACATACAGCCCTGGGGGTGCAGTGATGCTGTAGAGTTAGTTGGCTTTCCAAGGAGGCCAGTTGATGTTACAGTTGGGCAATCATAGTTGTTTGAGTGAAGAACATAATTTAAAGTTATTCTTCGGGGTAAACCAAGCTTCGAGCAATTCAACAGTTGCTTGTTGATTCCATCATAGCATGGTGCGAGCTTTATGATAGAACATGTTATGGTACACTGTTGTTCCTTGGCAGCCTGACAAACGTCATCGGGTGAGTTGGTCACGGGTCAAAAGCAGATTTGGTGATCAACTAGGAGATAGACACAGAAAAACCATTTTGATCGGCAACCTTTGACGACCATGCTCGAGAAGCAAACAACCGCCCTTTTTGGTATTGTTTTTACTGTAAACAAGTATTGACATGTATTGAGCTTTTGACCCCAAGCCAATTCATGGCCAGTTTCTTGGCTGTACACCGGGTTTCCTCTGTTTAGGCCTCGGACGGGATGAGTTCACCCGCGGAGTCCGGACGATGTCCGATGTCCGATGTCGCGTGGGATGTCCGGTTCGGTGGAGAGTGGGGAGTCTCGCGTGGAGAAAAAGGGGGCGACACGTAGACAGCGGCGAAGGACCCGAAGATGGAAGACGGGTTGGAAGGAGACGGAATGGAAGGACACGGACACGGAATCCCAAAGATCCCCAAAGTCCGTCATTGTCTGGGTTCTCTGAAGTCTTTTTGGATGATACCCTGGGAGTCCAAGACAACTTAACAAAGGATTTTTAGGTGACCTGAAAAAGGAACATCCTTGACTTCAATCGGTCCAAGCAGAGTCTTTGGACTTCTAGGGGTACAGATCAATTTTCCTGAAAGCTGCAGGCCCAGTCCCGACGCCGTGGCTGTCAGGCGAGCGCACTCGCGAGGGCAACGACTTGTATCACGAGATGATGGCAAGTGGTGTACCCTGGCGAACTGGCTTTTCGTTGTAGAATAGATGCATCAACAGCTTCACAAATCAGAACTGCTGTTTGAAGTTCCGTGAGATTTTGTCAAATTCATTCAGATTCCATGTGAAGCTCCATGTTATTCCGTCAAATTTGGTGAAGTTCCCTCAAGGTCGCACGATTTCCGTAGTTTTTTCCTAGCTTACCCATCAGATGTTCGAGCATGGTTGTCCACTTGGTACAAAGTTCCGCTGACATACCAAAAAGATCCAAAAGGCTACTTCAATTATCAAAAGCACCAATAGACATGCGGAAGAACGCAAGCAGGGCGTACCATACCTTGTCCGCCCAGGTCATCAAGAAGGACAAGGCGCCTGGCTCAAAGGCCTGCTTGTTTCCACATTGGATATATAGCCCTGGCTGGGTAGACTGCTCAGCTTTTTCCAGGGTCGGAACGCGGCGCTGTCGGTCTCCCTATTTGAGCTACACATCCATGCTATCTCACCTGGCTCGTGACTGGTCTCGGTCTTTGACAGATCACCTGACCGACCTGACCGGGTGAGAGAAATCCACGGGGCCCCACCCCGCCACTACCGAACTGGCATCCGAAACAGATCCACCGGAACCTGGTGGGTTCCAGCGTCGGGGGAGGGCTTGTGTTTTGGGGCCTTGGATGGCCGACAGGGGCCGAAACAAGGTGCCAAATCCACGAAGCATTGGTGCATGTGACCAGGTGTGACTGTATGACCACCAGGAGCCTCCTTTCCTTGTAGCGTCGCTGACGGACTCAACTACAGGCCACTACTCATCACTACTCTATTGGATCTCCAGGACACACCCAGGATCTCATCCAGTCACATCCAGGATGGTCCATGGTAGGTATAAGGATGGTCCATGAAAGGTTTGGGATGGGTTGTTGTTCTTGTTGGGTTACGTCCGTCACAGATGTCGGGCTCCCAGGTTGTGTGGGACTTGTGACTCACCGTGTCAGTCCGATAGGCGTTCACAGGGGCAGAACATGGCAGAACAGCTTCACACACGCCTTGTTTGATGTCCATGTGCGGTTTGTGTGTGTTTTTTTTTGTTTTCTGCCCATGTCTGGGAGCATGGGCAAGGAAGAGCAGACACGTCAGCCCGTATGTCGAAGGACACGGTCTTTCAGTGCCTCGTGTTTGTTCTTCACCGGTTTGGTTTTCTATGCTGATTCGGAATGGAACACCCCAACACATTTCAGGATCTGAAAGCGGTTCAAGAAACCACACCATGCACCTTCCCAGGCACACTTCCCCGTGTTATGACACGCTTTTTGTTGGGTCTGTCCGAACTGACCTTTTTTTCAGCCAAACAAGAAGTTCTCGTTATTTCGCAATATGGCCCATACCATGTTTGAACAAGGTTTGAACAAGGCCTTCACTAACCATCATTCACTGTTGCTGGATGTTACTGGTAGGAATAAGATAGACCCAAACAATATGATAGCACATGGCTTGCTTGTCTTCGTCTTGTTGCACCCCAGCAGGCTGCACTGGTCTACGGGCAGATGAACGAGCCTCCAGGTGCTCGAGCACGTGCCTCTCGGTGCGCTTTCAGACAAGCCATCAGAATCATGCATCACATATATAATATACAGTACCATTGATTTCTTAGAGGGGTCAACATAGTTGAATGATGTTTGTATTTTGATGTGGAGTGTTAGGAATGTGCCTTGATCATTCTTTCAGATTGGCTTCATTTTGACAGCGGGAGGATCATTGTTTTCGAGGCATCGTGCCCTCTTTGTTGTGCTATGTTTACTATGTGTTGGCAGTACCATGTTTTGTGTGTGGCGTACGGCTTTCGCGAAGCAGGTGTACTGTGTACTGTAAGTGATTTTTCTTGAACTTGTTGAAATGACACAACGAAACCCATGGAGTTGCAAGTGCCACAGACACATCGTTTGGTTTCTTGCAGGAGATCCAGGTGACATTATTTTGCAAAAGAGTCATTGCATCAACTCAAGAGTTGTTAAGAGTTGTTTGGCCCCATGAGATCAACATCTTCAGAGATCAATGTATATAGACACTGGGAACATGGACGATTTGATGTACATCTTGTCCCACAGAACATATAATGCCTTTCTTCCCAACTTGAACAATCAAGACGTGATCTACAAGCACCTAGCCACTAGCCACCCAGTTGGAGACCAAGGTTGTTTCTCTTCTCCAGGTTCAACAGTACTTGAACCTGCCAACAAATATCCATCGCTTCCGAGTTCGGTTCCACTGCGAGCAGAAGTCGTTAGGCAGGCCATCAACCGAGACGCGATGTGTTCGCCGAGGTGGCCTTGACGGGTCTGACAGTGGCCGAGTACTTCCGTGATGAGGAGGGACAGGCGCAGCGGGAACGGGCGAGACGAAACAGGCCGCTCGTGAGATGTCGTCGTCTTGGAAGAGCCCGCAACGCTTGGAAGAGCCCGAGCTCGACGGCCCGTGCCGTTTTCCGTTTGGGCCGAAACAGATTCCTCCGGGGGCTCCGAGAGATGAGACGCGGCTCGGGGTCTGAGCATGCGGCGAGAGTGGCACGGTTCGGATCAGGAGACCTGAGCGTGTTGAAGTCTCCCATGCAGAGTAGACGAGACTGCGGAGTGTGTAAGAGGGAGACTTCCAACTGATAGTGCACGTGTGACAATTGGATCTTGGGCGTCCCAACTGTTGGACCACCATGTTTCGTCCGCTCAGCCGAAGTCCTGACCTTCACCACACACACAGGATGTGCTGCTCTTTGTCGATAACATCTTCCGCTTCACCCAAGCTGGCTCTGAGGCACAAGAGCCAGTTTGTGCATGTAAACATGCTCTTCTTGCATGCGATACTGGGGATGTGCTTTGTATTGGGAAGTGCTTTCTCTTGTGCACAGTTTGCTCTTTGCTTCAGAACGGACCAAGACCTTTTGGGTGTAATGTAATAGAATAGCGCATTGGGAGACCGAATCGCAGGCGTCCCGGGAAATGGACCAGTCTTCCCCGAAACGGGGCGGAGAAAGGGAGGTCTCCGAACAGACACACGCCAGACCTTCCAGATCGGTTCTCCAGACCCTTTGCCCTCATGGTCTCTTCTCCAATCCTCTCCACCCGCCCCAGATCCAATTTGCCAGAGATGCTGCAAGGTGTCGGCCTTGCTGGGACGTATTCCAAGTGCCGTCGGCCACTGGGAAGTGATTGGATGCAAACCTGCGCCCAGCAGGTGTGCTGAGAAATGGTGGGAAGAGGTGGGGAAGTCTTTCAGTGGGATCCATGCGCAGGATGGTTCGCTTAGTTCATCTTAGTTCCTTTCTGCTCTTCCGTAGTGAGTTAAACGTTCGCGTCGGCCTTGGGTTAGACCTAGACGGATCCCGCATAAGCCACTGGTGAACGTGGAGCAAGCGAGTCAGGTCGATGCCATCAGGTTGTTCCATGTCAGTCTCGCGACCCGAGGTGTAGCATGAGTTCAACCCATATTGTGTAGCCATGTTCCAATGCGTGCCGACCTTCACGTTCGATCCAATGAGAGCTTGGAGCCAGTTTTTGGACGAGTCAGCCAAGTCTTGGGAAATACTGAATCAAGTTGTATGGGCCAATGGGTGTGTATTTTACTAGGGGATCATGGAGACCCCCCCGGAAATTCAGGATCATGTTCAGCCATTGTTGCTTTTCAGGAGGGTCAGGATGCAATTCCTGTTCCATTGGAGAAGAATCCAGACAATGTGTGTATAATGGTCTTCAGAGGTGCATGTCCGTTTGTGTATAGAACGTGTATCACGTACCAGCAGGACACCAAATTTGCCAAGAACCGCCCGTGTGCCGCTGTGGAAACACCAGTCATCCAGATGGTCCGTGGCCCGCGGTTTTCCTTTGGTTTTCTCGACGATTTAGGCTACCAGCCGACCTTGGCCACAGACTTGGCCTCTTTGCAGGACCTTGGTCTTCGGCGCATGGGATGGAATCCAAAGACCTAGATGGACAGAAATGACTTGCCATGACCCCTGCATGGACCGGTTGACTTGCCTGGAGAGTCAAGCTACATGGAGAGTCAAGTCAAACTATATATTATATATACTGTATATCGTCTACAGTGACAGCTACTGTACTTTTCCATGCAAACCAAAAGAAACGAGCCGCTCTCCTATGTCACGCTGCCTTTTGCTTGGCTGCTTTACGCTGCCGCTTTTTCCCGCAGCCACTGGCCGCATCTCCTCCGCGCCGCAGCGGCAGGAGCGCATTACCACCACCCAGAAGGGCTCGATCACCTCCGTCCAGGTCCGGGAGGGGGCGGGTGGCCTCGTCGCGGGGGGCGTTGGCACCGGAGGGCCGGAGGGAACGGAGAGGGAACGGAGGGAACGGTGCAGCAGGACGGTGCATTCAAACGATGGCTATGGCATGCTAGATTTTTTATGCCCTAGTCCGGTGGAAAGATATGGAAGATTTGTTCATATTGTGTTCCTGTTTTGCTCATTTCCAGTTCGTGCGTTGCTTCAAGCGGCATCTTTTGTTGCGTTTTGGGTTGCACACCGGACCTCTCGGATTCTGGATCAGGTGTTGTTGTCTGACTGAGAACGACTTATACTATCTTATACTTATATACATAATAATATTATAACATATATTATAACTATTATATAGAGAGACACTGGGCGGGATATTTTTTTCTGGCAGGTTCATTGATAAGCACCATTGTGCACTGGACGCTGTATGACGCCGGGAAGTCGCCCGGTACATCGGCCCTGGCATCAACGAATCAGCCTCCTTTGATTGGTGCCCTTTGCATCGGTTGGCCCCCCCAACGAGTGAGTGGAAGATCGATGCCTAGAGATCCACGACCGAGGTTTCATCCGACACCTGCGACATCTGCACCTCCTCTCCGTTTTCGACCGCACGTGACGCCATCCGCGGGAGGCGGTCTACGTGCCGGCGGATGACTTGACGGATCCGGCACCTGCCACCACCTTCGCTCACCTGGATGCCACGACTGTCTTGTCGCGCCAGATTGCAGAGACGCTCGATAAAAGATAAGAGGATCCTGAGGGCGGGTTCAAGTTGCAGAGGTTTTTGGAACTTCTGGTGGAATGTGTTCGGATCATTTGCGTTTCGCAGTCGAGTTGATGTGTCAAGTCAGTCCTCATCATTTTGAACATCGCTGTGAGTGAACACCTTCTCCACCTTGGACCCATGGGTAGATGGAGTGGTAGATGGACATCGGGCGACCCCAAGACTCCGGGCGAACCAACAGACAGGCGGAACCGGGCGACTCCAAGAGGGAGAAGTGAGAAGCTTTCCCGACCGCCATGGAGAGCCCGCCATGGAGTCATTGGTTCCAGCTCCACCGAGCTTCGGACCCACCCTTCGCCCCGCCACACTGTGGTGGGGTCAGCGATGTTCGGCCCCACGCGAGGAAACGGCACGACCAAGGCTACTGACTGACCCACTCATATATAAGTTAAAAGAGTTTATACAAGATGGATACTGTATGATATACTCTTGGATGTGCATAAGCAAATTTCAAGATACTTCATATACATCTTCCTACTGTTATTTGTCGCTTTATCGGCTTTATGACATGAAACATATACTATATGGCAAAACGTACACAGCTTACAGCTGCCGCTGAGGTTGGGCATCTATCCTGCCGTGGATCCGCTGGACTCCACGAGCCGAATGTTGGACCCGTCCATCGTGGGGCAGCGGCACTACGACATCGCTCGCAGCACGCCGCGCGGTTCGAAGCGCGCGCAAGCGCAAGCGCGGTGTTCGGGCGGTTCATGCTGACCGGTCAGACCGGAGGGACGGAGGACTGTTCGGGTGAGGTGTGTGGTTCCCTTTTTATACTTCTCCCTTGGATGGAAGTGGAAGTGGAAGTGACAGACACATTCATGCCCTTCAGCATCTAAATACGACGACTGAGCACTTTTCCTGGTGAAGGTGTGGAAGTGGAATGTGCTTGGACAAATGCCCTTAAACACATCTTCAGCTGTCAATGATATCACAGAGACACTCAGGGCTGGAGTTTCTTCATAGAACAGTTCAGAGCTATGTGCCACCCCATGAATCTTGTGCTGTCCATGTAGAGTTGACGTGCCTCCCTTCAGCTGAGGCAGAAGATCCTCCAGGACTACAAGTCTTTGCAGGCGCACCTGTTCGAGTGTCACCCAGCGGAGTGTACCTTGCAGGATCACAGAGAAATATCGATCCAAGGAAGAGTTGGTATAGGCATATGTAGGCATGCTTTGATATAACAAAATCCAAGTGTAGGGAGCTGACACAATGGTGCATATCATCATATACCACCACACCCGAGTGCTTTTTCTCGGGGCGAACTGGGAGGTGCTGGAAGGGACTTGCACTTTGAAGTATTTGTGTTCAGTACCCTCTGTATTACTGAATATAGTCACTCCACTACCATAAATAGTTGAAGTGTACTGTAACGGAAAATACATCGTAACATTGATCAGTAGGAGTATTCCACGCCACGGACAAGCATACAACTACAAAAATACAACTCTCATCTACAAGGTCAGTTCCTCAATTACTCATGACTGCAGTGCCATCCTGTGAAAGGAAGCGGCTGTGTTTTGGAGAGTATATAGTTCATTTCAACATCACCAGGGTTACTGGAATCTAGTCTTGTTGACTTCTGTAATCCGGCCCTAAATCATGTTCAATATCTATCTATCTTTCTTTCTTTCTTTTTTATTATATATACCCTAGGCTTCCCAATGCTAAACAAAGAATAGTCATATCGAGAACGACGATACTTTTCATGTAGTTCGTTTTGACGAACCCCATCACGCTCATCACGCTGCCACTTTTCACAGTGAGCAGTGAGCATGAATCAAATCCGCTTTCGGGATGATGCGTTCAACCTGAGATGTTTTTCAGCATGCAGCCAAAAAAAACACAACAAGTGAACACATCAATGAAGCACATCTTGTTGTGACCCTATAGAGCGATTTTTCAGCCAAGAAACCCACGAATCTTCCATTTCAAGGACCAAAGGCGCAGCTTTGTGACACGAAGAACGTGTTTCCGCTGATGTGAGGGGTGGGCTCTTAAGCTCATGCCTTGGAACGCAGTTTGCAATCACCCCAGGGTTCTTGCCGTACTGCAACAAACTGCAATACATTCCAGCAGCTGCAAGCTAGGATTACAAACAATTGTGGCAGTGAACGGCGCAACCATCCCATGCCATCCTCATCTATAAAGCAGTGTTCGTACCGGCTGTTTGTTCCTTATTTTCTGCAACCGCTTTGGTGTGTGAGACACAGCGCGTGCGTGCAAGCATACAAACAAACTTGAAAAGACACACACACTAAATGCACGGATGCTTGCATACATTAATTGATGGAAGTAGCTGTAGATTAGCACATTCTTGAGCACATGACCGTAGGCCTGCAGAATCTGATGTGAGCCGCCCCAAATGCTCAATAGAACCACGTGCACACCAATCATGTCACAGAAGATTCAGTTCAGAGCCAAGTAGCGTGAATCTTTGGCCGGATGATGAAGTGAGGTTTTCCTCGCCTCATGTTGATAGTATCCCCACAGTGATGGGACACCCGTACAACATCGACACCAATTTTCATCCAGTGCAGCTGTGATACTCAGTTGACATCTTGTTCAGGAGAAGGTGTGTCCGGCAGAAGAGGCGACCCTCGTTGTACAACGCTCTCGATTGCTCACATGTCCTTGGCAAACCAGAAAATCATCGCAAACACTGACTGGTAGCGTATTATTTTAACCTGCAACAAGTACAAATTACGTAGACTAGATTCAGGAAGCGAGGATACGCCTCTGACAACAAGAAGAAGCGCGACAAGGCATTCCTGAGCACAACTGGGATCCAGAAACTTTTGCACCATAACTCAGGGTATGGCACGCATGACGATGCATGCAAGAAGCATTGCAACAAACATGGTCGGAATTCGGTCATCGCAAGCTGGAACATGTTGGGCCTTCTCCAAAGTGGCTGCCAACCAAGCACAGATCACTCTATTGTTGTAGGCTTTGGCAGTGAGCATAATCTCTTGACCATTCTTGATCACCTCAATGACCAATGAACAACCCAGTCAGATCCTGCGAAATGCTTCCGCAGTACAGCAACGACAGCACATGACAACACACATGCACACGCAATTCAACACAGTCAAGAAGCCAACTTCACAGTAAATGGTGGCTGGCTGCAAGCGATCTTATTGGTCCGACAAAAGGCTCTGAAGTCCGAGTACGCTGCATCAAGATGAGCTTGGAGTGAATGCTGCCCCGCAGCCGGCAAGAAGTACGAATCCTCCACCAAAGTGATCCTTAGCGTGTTGGATCTATCCCTGATGGGCGCGCGGTGTAAACGAACACATGCAAAGCGGGTCAAACACACCACAGCAAACAAGGATCAGGGATGATCCATTTGCACCATAGAGCAGCCCCAGATTCAGCACATGCATAGTGCAAAAACGGAGCATTGATTGGTGAAATCCTCGAATCATTAGTAGAGGAGAAGCACGATGACGGGGAATTTGGTGAAGCAACCACTCCGCCGATGAGTATTCCTTTCTCCAAAGCACAGATTGTTCCCCAAGATCATAGTATCGATCAGCCCCCCTCGCCATAGCCGGGCACATATAACAAACTGGTTGATTTGTTCCAGACTTCCAACTGCTCCTTAGCCTGAAAAGGCCCTTGAACCACAGCCAGTCCCCCCGGAGCTCTGTAAGAGCAAACGCAAGAGGTCGACCACAAATCCATTTGCCAGCACGCTCCGCCTTGTGGTGGGTGAACTCAGTACCCTTCATGTCACAGCGTGGCCACCGGCCAGTGAACAGGCAGTTTAATGCCCAAGCAATGTAGAGCAGAACCCGATCAAGTGTGATGTCTCCCTGAAGCTGGTCCTCCTCTATGGAGAACACCAGCCATCGGCTGGCTCTCACACTTTTTGGTCGAAACAACGGGCAGGACAAAAATATGCCTAACACCTTCCTCGCCGGTTGGTAACTAACTTGCCGTGTTCGACAAGAGTCACCGTACAAAGCCAATGGGATGTGGTAATCTCCTGCTGGGTGGTTTTCTGCCCATGGAACCTTGAATTTGCGGTTGTGGCTCCAATACTCTGCTACTTTCGCAGGGGGTACATCCACGCCGATGTGTTCCCACAGGTAGTGGACGATAGACATCGGACAAAGAAGCTCCAAATTGGTCAAACATTGTGATTTGCCATGCGACCTCTTGATGGGAGCTTCAACTGAAACAGTCTCCTTAGCCACAACCCGCGCATGCCGGCGCACACACGAGCATAACAAGTTAGGCCCTAGCGCGCGAAATCACACACACAAACACTTGCATGCACTCGTTGCCTAAAATGTCAACCCGCAGAATCCGTAAAAGATACTAGATTAATTGGTAAAAGAAGATTGGGGGTCCATCGGTTTGAGACATTTTCCCTATGAATCGGCACAGCTATTGCTGAACCTCCAGCTTACACCCACCCAACCACCCACCCAATATGTCAAGTTGCCACTGGAACCCTGCAGAATCGGGTGAAGTCACGAGCTTCATTCAAAGTTGAATAGGAATTCAATTTGCGGCTCCAAGGATGGGCTGCGTGCTCACCACTCTCCTGGTTTGGCAGCGCATACGGTATCAATCCAGGTTGCACGGTTCAAGAGTTTTCCTAACTAATCCACAAAACAAAGAACATGTCATCTCCTTGACATGAGATCTAATGCTTCTCATGGCCTGGTGAATACTGCTCACCTTGCCAAGATGGACAAACAAGTCAATTGCATTCACGTGCGTTCATGATTCAATATACTAGCCCTAGCCCTACAAAGTTGTCGACTTTCGGGGGATGTATAGATTGTACTAGTGAGAGATTTCATCCACATTTTGATGTGTGCCATGCCACCCCGCTAACCACATCGTCGACGATTTGCTCCGTGTGGAAAGCTCGTCGCTCAGCTTCTGCGTGGGAAGGGGAGTCAAAAGAATGAAACAAACCAAATGTTGAGTGCCGTATATGAATTCCATGGAATTGATCCAATTGTGATTAATTGATGTGCCATATAGCCTTTTTGAATGCGTGGGAACATCGAGTGGCAGAGTGGACAGCATGCCTTTTGCATGTCACGTATCCCTAAAACCCCATCCCAGGCTTCCAAGCTTCAAAGGCATAGGTCATCCTGGAGACCTATTTAGCTCGGTGCTACCCCGGGATTTTGTCAAAAGCTCAAGCGCCAACAAGTGAGAGGTTCACCCCACTCTCACTCCAAACACTCTTCGCTACAGCCTCAAGGCCTAAACACTAGTCCTACACCTTGCAAGACTTGTCATCCTTATATTTTTTGATCATTTGCTCAGCTTTCGCCCTGGCGGTGTCCATTTTGTCCACCTGGCAGCAAGGGATCACGATGCATCGATTTGCTCGATTTGTCAATCACAAAGTTCTACTTCAGAGCTCATGTCAACTCTGTTGGATGAGTTGTTTTTCCAGACATTTCATCAAATCTGGCCAGGGTCAGGCCTACTCTATCCTACTCACCCCATGCATGTATGTTCTTAAATCGAAGACGTTTTCAGACCCAGGGTCACATCGAGCAGCTAAAAAAAAGGCCTTGTCCTCATCAATCAAAGGCTCCATCTCGGAACGCTGCTTCTTGAGATCTTGCTTGTGGCTTGCGAGGCACTTCTTGATGGCATTCTTCACATCCTCTGACCTAGGAGAAGGCCAAGCACGACTCTTGGCCCTATGAAGAGAGACCAAACGGTTCATTGTAATGGAATAAAGTCTTTTTGATATGTTTCCCAGTCCTGTACTTCATTGATCGACAAGTTTCCAATTCAACCCGAATCATGTGAAGGGGTCGTTGATTAAAATAGAGTACGATAGTTTTCCGTGGATTGGACCCTCCCAATACCCTCCCAATCGATCAAGAAGCAAATCATCCGCTTTGGCTTCCCGCTTCGTGATGTCAGCGATGGATTGCTGCAAAGAGTTGAACGCCTGTTGCAGGGTTGCATTGTTCATATATCCATTGTGCATGCACGTATTTGCGCACGTTTAAATACATTGTAGATCGATGTGTGTTTTACAGGAATACTACCGGTAGTACTTTGTCATGAATCTTAATACATGCCCACA